GTAGGGTGAACAGGGCTGTGGGGGAGGGCTGTCCCTTCTGTGGGGAGAGGGAGACAGTGTTCCACTGCTTCTGGGAGTGTGGGAGGCTCAGGCACATGCTGGAGCTGCTAAGGGGCCTCTTCACTTCACTGGGGGCAGAGTTTAATGCTCAGGTGTTTGTGGGGGGGGGTCAGGTACTCCAACCGCAGCAGGAGGAGGGGGCGGCTGCTCAGTTTCCTGGTCGGTCAGGCCAAGATGGCCGTCTATGTGAGCAGGAGGAGGATGGTCCAGGACCAGAGTGAGATCAGTCCCAGGGCTCTGCTGGTCCGGATGGTCCAGGCCAGACTCAGGCTGGAGTTCGGTCTCTATAGGATAAATGGGGATCAGGAGGGGTTTGAGGAGCGCTGGGGGTTCAGGGAGGTGTGCTCTGTGAGGGACGGGGAGCTGTTTTTTTCTGCCTTTTTATCGTTGTAAACCTATGAATTGAAGTGTGTGAAGTGTTGCATTGTTTATTTATTGCCAGTATTTGCACTTTTTGCACTTTTATGTCCGGATTTTTAAACTATGTTTTTTCCTATACATTACAATGTGTAATATGTAATGTAATTTAACCTGTTTAATGGACAAATAAAGGTCTGTTAAAAATCAAAATCTCCTCTCCTCTCTCCTCTCTTCTCTCCTCTCGTCTCTCCTCGTCTCTCCTCTCCTCTCTCCTCTCGTCTCTCCTCTCCTCTCTCCTCTCGTCTCTCCTCTTCTCTCTCCTCTAGTCTCTCCTCTTGTCTCTCCTCTGGTCTCTCCTCTTGTCTGTCCTCTTCTCTCTCCTCTCGTCTCTCCTCTTCTCTCTCCTCTCATCTCTCCTCTCGTCTCTCCTCTTCTCTCTCCTCTCGTTTCTCCTCTCGTCTCTCCTCTTGTCTCTCCTCTTCTCTCTCCTCTCGTCTCTCCTCTTCTCTCTCCTCACGTCTCTCCTCTCCTCTCTCCTCTCCTCTCTCCTCTTCTCTCTCCTCTGGTCTCTTCTCTAGTCTCTCCTCCTCTCTCTCCTCTCGTCTCTCCTCTTGTCTCTCCTCTCCTCTCTCCTCTCGTCTCTCGTCTCTCCTCTCGTCTCTCCTCTCTCCTCTCTTCTCTCCTCTTGTCTCTCCTCTCCTCTCTCCTCTCGTCTCTCCTCTCCTCTCGTCTCTCCTCTCCTCTCTTTTCTCCTCTCGTCTCTCCTCGTCTCTCCTCTCCTCTCGTCTCTCCTCTCTCTCTCTCTCTCTCTTCTCTCCTCTTCTCTCTCCTCTCTCTTCTCGTCTCTCATTTTGAACCCCCTGGACACAAGATGGCGGCCATCATGGTGGTTGCCAGTGCCCAGAACACTCGCTTGGTCCAGAGTCAGGGAGAGGGCCCGTGCATTTTGTTGTACCCTTCGGGGGACAATGACTTTGTATACTAATTACTGGCCAGTGCCTCGCCCAGTCTCTGGACACCATGACCTTAACTCAAGGCACTAGCATTAGCATCAGGGAAGAACCCAATTGAAACTAAATTTGTTCAATTCTAGTATACAATCTTGTAAACGTGGAGACAATATGCAAGTCGCAATTGATCTTCATGTTGTGCAGGAAACAAGCAGCCAAAATGCGCACTTGGACTACTGTCAAGATTGTGGCCATAGTAGAGTAGAGCTAAAGTCTAGCCTAGCTCCTGGCCCTAACCTAACCTTAACCATAGAGAGGGGAACAGCCCTAAACTTAACCAGTCACAGGAAGACATAAATTGGAAACTAAATTAGTTCATTGGTTACTCAACAAGAGTGGGGGGGCGGAGCCTGTACACCATATAAAAGAGGACACCGAACAGAGTGCCTCCAGTCAGTGTAGAACTCGCCTGAAGAAGACACAAGAAGCTGTCGAAACGTAGCGCATACAATTTTTCTACACATACACTCTACTATAGAGCAATTTTTTGAACCCCCTGGACACAAGATGGCGGCCATCATGGTGGTTGCCAGTGCCCAGAACACCGCTTGGTCCAGAGTCAGGGAGAGGGCCCGTGCATTTTGTTGTACCCTTCGGGGGACAATGACTTTGTATACTAATTACTGGCCAGTGCCTCGCCCAGTCTCTGGACACCATGACCTTAACTCAAGGCACTAGCATTAGCATCAGGGAAGAACCCAATTGAAACTAAATTTGTTCAATTCTAGTATACAATCTTGTAAACGTGGAGACAATATGCAAGTCGCAATTGATCTTCATGTTGTGCAGGAAACAAGCAGCCAAAATGCGCACTTGGACTACTGTCAAGATTGTGGCCATAGTAGAGTAGAGCTAAAGTCTAGCCTAGCTCCTGGCCCTAACCTTAACCATAGAGGGGAACAGCCCTAAACTTAACCAGTCACAGGAAGACATAAATTGGAAACTAAATTAGTTCATTGGTTACACAACAAGAGTGGGGGGGCGGAGCCTGTACACCATATAAAAGAGGACACCGAACAGAGTGCCTCCAGTCAGTGTAGAACTCGCCTGAAGAAGACACAAGAAGCTGTCGAAACGTAGCGCATACAATTTTTCTACACATACACTCTACTATAGAGCAATTTTTTGAACCCCCTGGACACAAGATGGCGGCCATCATGGTGGTTGCCAGTGCCCAGAACACCCGCTTGGTCCAGAGTCAGGGAGAGGGCCCGTGCATTTTGTTGTACCCTTCGGGGGACAATGACTTTGTATACTAATTACTGGCCAGTGCCTCGCCCAGTCTCTGGACACCATGACCTTAACTCAAGGCACTAGCATTAGCATCAGGGAAGAACCCAATTGAAACTAAATTTGTTCAATTCTAGTATACAATCTTGTAAACGTGGAGACAATATGCAAGTCGCAATTGATCTTCATGTTGTGCAGGAAACAAGCAGCCAAAATGCGCACTTGGACTACTGTCAAGATTGTGGCCATAGTAGAGTAGAGCTAAAGTCTAGCCTAGCTCCTGGCCCTAACCTTAACCATAGAGGGGAACAGCCCTAAACTTAACCAGTCACAGGAAGACATAAATTGGAAACTAAATTAGTTCATTGGTTACTCAACAAGAGTGGGGGGGCGGAGCCTGTACACCATATAAAAGAGGACACCGAACAGAGTGCCTCCAGTCAGTGTAGAACTCGCCTGAAGAAGACACAAGAAGCTGTCGAAACGTAGCGCATACAATTTTTCTACACATACACTCTACTATAGAGCAATTTTTTGAACCCCCTGGACACAAGATGGCGGCCATCATGGTGGTTGCCAGTGCCCAGAACACTCGCTTGGTCCAGAGTCAGGGAGAGGGCCCGTGCATTTTGTTGTACCCTTCGGGGGACAATGACTTTGTATACTAATTACTGGCCAGTGCCTCGCCCAGTCTCTGGACACCATGACCTTAACTCAAGCAGGCACTAGCATTAGCATCAGGGAAGAACCCAATTGAAACTAAATTTGTTCAATTCTAGTATACAATCTTGTAAACGTGGAGACAATATGCAAGTCGCAATTGATCTTCATGTTGTGCAGGAAACAAGCAGCCAAAATGCGCACTTGGACTACTGTCAAGATTGTGGCCATAGTAGAGTAGAGCTAAAGTCTAGCCTAGCTCCTGGCCCTAACCTTAACCATAGAGGGGAACAGCCCTAAACTTAACCAGTCACAGGAAGACATAAATTGGAAACTAAATTAGTTCATTGGTTACTCAACAAGAGTGGGGGGGCGGAGCCTGTACACCATATAAAAGAGGACACCGAACAGAGTGCCTCCAGTCAGTGTAGAACTCGCCTGAAGAAGACACAAGAAGCTGTCGAAACGTAGCGCATACAACATTTTTCTACACATACACTCTACTATAGAGCAATTTTTTGAACCCCCTGGACACAAGATGGCGGCCATCATGGTGGTTGCCAGTGCCCAGAACACTCGCTTGGTCCAGAGTCAGGGAGAGGGCCCGTGCATTTTGTTGTACCCTTCGGGGGACAATGACTTTGTATACTAATTACTGGCCAGTGCCTCGCCCAGTCTCTGGACACCATGACCTTAACTCAAGGCACTAGCATTAGCATCAGGGAAGAACCCAATTGAAACTAAATTTGTTCAATTCTAGTATACAATCTTGTAAACGTGGAGACAATATGCAAGTCGCAATTGATCTTCATGTTGTGCAGGAAACAAGCAGCCAAAATGCGCACTTGGACTACTGTCAAGATTGTGGCCATAGTAGAGTAGAGCTAAAGTCTAGCCTAGCTCCTGGCCCTAACCTTAACCATAGAGGGGAACAGCCCTAAACTTAACCAGTCACAGGAAGACATAAATTGGAAACTAAATTAGTTCATTGGTTACTCAACAAGAGTGGGGGGGCGGAGCCTGTACACCATATAAAAGAGGACACCGAACAGAGTGCCTCCAGTCAGTGTAGAACTCGCCTGAAGAAGACACAAGAAGCTGTCGAAACGTAGCGCATACAATTTTTCTACACATACACTCTACTATAGAGCAATTTTTTGAACCCCCTGGACACAAGATGGCGGCCATCATGGTGGTTGCCAGTGCCCAGAACACTCGCTTGGTCCAGAGTCAGGGAGAGGGCCCGTGCATTTTGTTGTACCCTTCGGGGGACAATGACTTTGTATACTAATTACTGGCCAGTGCCTCGCCCAGTCTCTGGACACCATGACCTTAACTCAAGGCACTAGCATTAGCATCAGGGAAGAACCCAATTGAAACTAAATTTGTTCAATTCTAGTATACAATCTTGTAAACGTGGAGACAATATGCAAGTCGCAATTGATCTTCATGTTGTGCAGGAAACAAGCAGCCAAAATGCGCACTTGGACTACTGTCAAGATTGTGGCCATAGTAGAGTAGAGCTAAAGTCTAGCCTAGCTCCTGGCCCTAACCTTAACCATAGAGGGGAACAGCCCTAAACTTAACCAGTCACAGGAAGACATAAATTGGAAACTAAATTAGTTCATTGGTTACACAACAAGAGTGGGGGGGCGGAGCCTGTACACCATATAAAAGAGGACACCGAACAGAGTGCCTCCAGTCAGTGTAGAACTCGCCTGAAGAAGACACAAGAAGCTGTCGAAACGTAGCGCATACAATTTTTCTACACATACACTCTACTATAGAGCAATTTTTTGAACCCCCTGGACACAAGATGGCGGCCATCATGGTGGTTGCCAGTGCCCAGAACACCCGCTTGGTCCAGAGTCAGGGAGAGGGCCCGTGCATTTTGTTGTACCCTTCGGGGGACAATGACTTTGTATACTAATTACTGGCCAGTGCCTCGCCCAGTCTCTGGACACCATGACCTTAACTCAAGGCACTAGCATTAGCATCAGGGAAGAACCCAATTGAAACTAAATTTGTTCAATTCTAGTATACAATCTTGTAAACGTGGAGACAATATGCAAGTCGCAATTGATCTTCATGTTGTGCAGGAAACAAGCAGCCAAAATGCGCACTTGGACTACTGTCAAGATTGTGGCCATAGTAGAGTAGAGCTAAAGTCTAGCCTAGCTCCTGGCCCTAACCTAACCATAGAGGGGAACAGCCCTAAACTTAACCAGTCACAGGAAGACATAAATTGGAAACTAAATTAGTTCATTGGTTACACAACAAGAGTGGGGGGGCGGAGCCTGTACACCATATAAAAGAGGACACCGAACAGAGTGCCTCCAGTCAGTGTAGAACTCGCCTGAAGAAGACACAAGAAGCTGTCGAAACGTAGCGCATACAATTTTTCTACACATACACTCTACTATAGAGCAATTTTTTGAACCCCCTGGACACAAGATGGCGGCCATCATGGTGGTTGCCAGTGCCCAGAACACCCGCTTGGTCCAGAGTCAGGGAGAGGGCCCGTGCATTTTGTTGTACCCTTCGGGGGACAATGACTTTGTATACTAATTACTGGCCAGTGCCTCGCCCAGTCTCTGGACACCATGACCTTAACTCAAGCAAGGCACTAGCATTAGCATCAGGGAAGAACCCAATTGAAACTAAATTTGTTCAATTCTAGTATACAATCTTGTAAACGTGGAGACAATATGCAAGTCGCAATTGATCTTCATGTTGTGCAGGAAACAAGCAGCCAAAATGCGCACTTGGACTACTGTCAAGATTGTGGCCATAGTAGAGTAGAGCTAAAGTCTAGCCTAGCTCCTGGCCCTAACCTTAACCATAGAGGGGAACAGCCCTAAACTTAACCAGTCACAGGAAGACATAAATTGGAAACTAAATTAGTTCATTGGTTACAACAAGAGTGGGGGGGCGGAGCCTGTACACCATATAAAAGAGGA